TCTCGGGCGTATGTCCGCGACTTGTCTGCGGACAAGCTGTCCCCTCATGCTGCTCCTTGCGTCTTCATTGGCTTCCCCCCTGACGCGCCAGGGTGGCAGTTCTACCACCCCACCTCTCGCCGTGTTCTGTCCTCCAAGTACGTCACGTTCGACGAGTCGGTCCCCTACTACCGTCTCTTCCCCTACCGCACTCCGTCCCTCCCCCGGCCACTGCTCTTCCTTGTGCCAGGTCCCCCCCCGGTAGACCCCCTTACCCCTCAGAGTCATGCCCCTTCAGGTGTGTCCCAGGTAGACGAAGTTGAGCCTGTCGAGGTCGCTGGTGACTCTAGTGCTGCTGAGGGTGCTGAGCTTGGGGGTGCTGACTCTGGGGGTGCTGAGCGTGTGGGTGCTACGCCTGGGGGTGCTGAGCCTGAGGGTACTACGACTGGGGGTGTTGAGCCTGGGGGTGATGAGTCTGGGGGAGCTGAGCCTGGGGGTGCTGAGCCTGGGGGTGCTGAGCCTGGGGGTGCTACGCCTGGGGGTGCTCAGCTTGGGGGTGCTACGCCTGGAGGTGCTGAGCCTGGGGGTGCGGAGCCTGAGGGAGCTGGGCCTGCTCGTGTGGCGTCTGGTGGTGCTGCACCTGTTGTTCTCCGGTGCTTCGTCTCGGCGGGAGCCACTCTCTCCACAGGAGCTGCGCGAGTGGTTTCCCCGGCACTGGAGCTGGAGCTGCTGAGGGTGTTGGCGCTGAGGCTACTGCTGTCGGTCCTGGAGGCGGTCCTGTTGGAGGTGCTACTGGTGCTGCTGGAGGTACTGGAGCTGGAGGTGCTGCTGGCACTGGTGCTACCACTGGGGGTACTGGTGCTGTCCCTGCTGTGTCTGGAGTCGCCGCGCGGCCTCGTCCGTACTTCGTTCCGCTCCTTCAGCAGGTTCTTGGTCTCCCGCCTTCTACTGGTCCTCCTCCTCCCTTAGAGTATCCACAGCCTGTCCCGTCACAGCTACAGTTACAGCCGGCCTCCCCACTGCCTGCTCCTTCTCCCTACACTGGTCCTACTGGAGGTCTTGCTGAGCGTCGTGAGCCTGCGTCTCGCCCTGCGTTACCTGTCCGTGCTGCTCGCACTAGTGGTCGTAGTTCGCGTCAGCGTCCTCCTCCTGTCCCTGGCACGCACCGGATGTCTCTGCGTCCGTCCAATGCTCCTCTGCGTGCCCCTTTGCCTTCTCCTCCTACGTCCTCTCTTCCTGCTCTTGCCGACCCAGAGTCGGACTCTCTTCGTGCTGCCAGTCCTACTGTCATGCGTCTCCTGGCTACTGTTGTCACAGACCCTTTCTTTGAGTCCTCTGCTGCGTCCGCCCTAGTTGCTGAGCTCGTCGACTTTGCTGCCCGCTGTCGCCTAGACTACGCTGCCAGTCTTGTTGCTGAGTCTGAGTCTGTCTGTCCTCCGTCTGTCGGGGGTGAGTGTGCCCTTGGCATGGACGTCCTTGAGGACAGGCAGGAGTTCTAGTGTCTGGCTGCTGCTTCACCTCATCTCGTGTCCGTACTGCTTACCCCTGAGGGAGACCCGGATGCACTTGACATCCTAACTCCGCGCTCTTACGCGGAGGCGATAGAGGGTCCCTACTCCTCTCAGTGGCAGGCAGCTATGGACGTAGAGATGGCTTCTTGGAAGTCCACAAGCACCTACGTTGACGACGTTGCCCTTCCTAGGGCGAACATCGTCAGTGGCATGTGGATTTTCAGGGTGAAGCGGCCGCCGGGTTCTCCGCCTGTCTTCAAGGCGCGTTACGTGGCTCGTGGCTTCAGTCAGCGGCAGGGGGTTGACCACTTTCAGACCTTCTCTCCCACCCCGAAGATGACCACTCTTCGGGTACTGCTGCGCATAGCTGCTCACCGTGACTACGAGCTACACTCTCTTGACTTCAGCACTGCTTTTTTGCAGGGCAGCCTGCATGAGGAGATCTAGCTGCGCCGCCCACCTGGCTTCACTAGGACTTTTCTTCCTGGCACCTAGTGGAGCCTCCGGCGGCCAGTCTACGGTCTCTGCCAGGCACCGCGTGAGTGGCACGACACACTGAGGACTACACTTGTGGCTATTGGGTTTGCTCCCTCTACTGCCGACCCGTCGCTGTTTCTGCGCACTGACACCTCTTTGCCGCCGTTCTACATCCTTGTGTACGTCGACGACTTGGTCTTTGCCACTGCTGACACTGCTGGACTCGCCCACGTGAAGTCTGAGCTGCAGAAGAGACACACGTGCACTGACCTGGGTGAACTGCGCAGCTACTTTAGCTTGCAGATCCCCCAGGACAGAGCACGCCGCACCATTACCCTGACTCAGTCACACATGGTGCAGCAGGTCCTTCAGCGCTTCAGCTTCACGTACTCCTCGCCTCAGGCCACTCCTCTGCCTACTCGCCACTCACTCTCAGCTCTGCCTTCGGATGAGTCCGTAGCGTCGAGTGGCCCGTACCCAGAGCTTGTTGGTTGCCTCATGTACCTGATGACCTGCACACGACCTGACCTTGCATACCATCTTAGCATTCTCGCACGCTATGTTGCTCCTGGGAGACACAGACCGGAGCACATGGCTGCAGCGAAGAGGGTGTTGCGCTACTTGTGCAGTACATCGGGCATGGGGCTTGTGCTTGGAGGGCAGAGTCCAGTGGTCCTCACTGGACACGCAGACGCTTCTTGGGCTGACGACCAGGCTACGCAGCGGTCGTCACAGGGTTACACCTTCAGTCTTTGTTCCGGCTCTGTTTCGTGGCGGGCTACCCGCTCGTCTTCTATTCTCGGCTCCAGTTGTGGGGCTGAGATCTACGCAGGAGCCATGGCTGCACAGGAGCTTTGCTGGCTCACCTACGTGCTGACTGACCTCGGACAGCCGCCTCGTTCTCCTCCAGTGCTGTACGTTGACAACAAGGCCATGATGGCCTTGTGTTGGGAGCAGAGACTGGAGCACAGAACGAAGCACATTGCTCTCCGCTACTTCCTTGCTTGTGAGTTGCAGTAGAGTGGTCAGCTGCGGCTTGCGTATGTGGCCTCTGAGGCCAACAGTGCTGATATCTTCACCAATGCGCTTGCGCCTTGTGATCATCAGCGCTTCTGTATTCAGCTGGGTCTTGTGCCTGCCTTGCCTCACTTGCTCACCTCTTGACCTTGTTTGTACTGTTATATATATATATATATATATATATATATATACACTTGCTCTTGCTTGTCTAGCCTTTTATATATATGTACTCCTGCATGTGAACTGGCCTTGGGGCCTTGAACTTGTGCTCGGAATGTGTGGTGACTTTGTGATCCACCTTGAGCTTGCTTTGCTTTGCTTAACTAGTCTTGTGACCCCTTGTTCTCCCCCACTTTGCCTATGGGGGTGTGTCAGATTTATATGACATAGCTGTTGTAGACTTTAGTGGGGTAGCACATATGGGGTATAGCTTTCTAGGGTTTGTACTTGTACCCGACATTCCCTTAGTCAATTCCATTCTCGTTCATTTTCTCAGCCTAGGCTTGTGGGTGGCTTCGAGCCTCCTCCGTAGGGTCGCGAATCACGAGGCCCCAAGTTGGCCATCTTTCTGCTAATTCGAGGCCTTAGTATGATCATTCCCCAAATCAGACAACCCAATCCAGCCTCCCAAAACGTGGCTGGGCTTCGCGTTCGCCTCCCCCACACCACCCACGAGTCAACGTTGTGCAAGCTTGCTGAACTTGCGCAATTTGGGTGGGCTGTGATTGCTGGACCTCTGGATGGAGCTGAGTTGGTCGATACGCATGCTGACCTCAGCTCACACAAACCCCACTTCTGCCTCAACTTGCGTTGCACCTGCACCCTTGGTGTCGCAAATTGTTTCGTGAACGTGTTGTTTTCGCGAGTCGCAACCTTTCAGAACCTGCAGTTCCCTGATTTTCAAACCCAAACCTGGCGTTGACTATTTACCGTTTGGAAAAACCGTCCTCACTTCGGGGCTGTATTAGGACGTCCTCATTGATGCACTGTATCTTTCAGCCAGGCTGGCTGCTTGCCCAACTTGGGCGAAGCACAAGCACAAGCATAGCACAGTATTTCACGGACTACTGTAGCGCCCGTGCCCGTTTCGTGCGTGCTTGTGCTAGCACGCTGGAGCGGACAGGCGCGACGCGAGCTTCTTGGGGGTTCCAGCGGAAGGGGGTTCATCATGATGGAACCGTCGAGGACAGGCCGTCGAAACGCATGTTGGCGCTGGCGCGTGGACTTCAAATTATTGACGCGCAACTTGCCGTGGAGAGATGATCTTGCCGCGAGATGAGATCGTCTCCCCATGGCAACCCGCCCGCCCGGGCATAGATTATCTCCGCCCGGGCGGAGATGATCTCATCGCCGCGCATCCCGGCCGCCCGGGCGGAGCGCCGAGCAACTCCTCATTCGCAGCACGCGCTGGGGCCAGAAGAGCGCAGGTCTTAGTAAGGCAGAGCCAGATCCAGAGCTTTATACTACGACTATGCCCAAAGACAGCCATGCTCCACGCCTGCTCGAGATCTCGCGCTGTAAGAGGCTCTTACTACTAGTACTACCATGGGTGGCCACAACGGCCGCCGCTACTGGCTATCCCGCGCCGCGGCGTGGCTCGACCTCCCTCCGCTCCCAACGGTCCTCTTCTCGCCGCTTTTCCTGCCCACCCCAGCCGCTAGTATTAGTATTACCAGCAGGATGAGTTATAAAACTACCGCGTCCGTGAGGCGCGCTGTCAGCACGCAGCGCACCTCTGTGCTCCTCAAGCGGTCCAGGCTCGTTGCCGCGTCGCTTTTCTCCATTGCCTTCATGGTCGCTACTAGAAGTAGTACTATCAGTACTAGCAGCAGAAGCTCCGCGGCGCTGCCAGCCAGCCTGTGGCTCCTGAACATAATGGCCAGGGGTGACAACCATGACCCACGTGCCGCGGCTGAAATGCCGCCGGCTGGACCGGCTACTTCTAGTACTCTCGCTACCCCTACTACTTCTACTACTTCTACACCCACGGTGACAGGATCGGGCTGTAGGTCTATGTTGTCATCTGAACGGCCCACAGTGACACCGCGGTTCTTCCTGTACCGCATGATTGGCAATGACATGCCGCCGATGCAGTGTGACGGGCAGCTGTACCAGAACACGCTGTACACGCTGCAGCACGAGGCGAGGGAGCTGGGCGGCGGCAACGTGCGGCGGCTGTGGGTGATGAACAACATTCTCAACGACACGGAGCAGCGGCGTATCGTGGACGCCATCCTGAGCCACGGGTACTCGGAAGAGGTGAGCTGCTTTTCCCTGCGTTTCACGAGGTGAGCTGCTTCTGAAAATCATTTTCAAGAGTGTGAGATGGTCACTGGGATCGGATCCAGTGGCTGGATCGCCGCTATGCTGCTTTTCCATGCGTTTCTGTTGCCGCCTTGCTCTGTGCACTTTCTTTGCTGCTGTTACCAGCACACCCTGACATGCCTCGATTTGGCGTACCATACCCTCATCTCGCCCACACACAAATTGTTTTTGTTTTTCCCTGTGCTGCACACCGTGCAGGATATCATTTACATCCGCCCCAACTACACTCGCCTTGCCTCCATGCCGCAGCATACATGGTCCGATGCCATCACAGGTGAGCATGCAGAGAGAGGCGAGGATGCAGCGACAGGTGAGGATGCAGCGACAGGCGAGATGCAGTGACAGGCGAGGATGCAGCGACAAGCGAGGATGCAGCGACAAGCGAGGATGCAGCGACAAGCGAGGATGCAGCGACAAGCGAGGATGCAGCGACAAGCGAGCATACAGCCGAGCATGCAGAGACAGGCGAGCGAGTAGGCGAACTTGTAGAGTCATGCCATTTCCTTTCATTTCCAGTTGTTTCACCCTACCCTCGTCCCCATGTTTCTTGCCCCCGAGGCCATATTCGCTCATGCCCCTCACCCCTCACGCCATCAGGTATGAACGAGGCGCGCAATATGATGGTGGAGCACGGCAGGGCGCATGGGGCGCGGTGGGTCCTGCCTATGGATGGCAACCACTTCCTTACCAACGAGGCCTGGGCCTTCCTGGCTGCTGCAGCCGACAGACACGAGGCCCGTGGCAAGACGGTGTTCAAGGTGCATAAGCTCAATAATCGTGAAAGTGTGTAGTCTATGGAGTCACAGCAGGCAGACAAGTACTCGTTGCTTCTGATTTTCCAAGTATTTTTTGGTCGGTTATTTCTTTCTGAGGTTCTGTTTGTTTTGTGCGTGTAAATATGGCTCTAGCACGTGGAAAGCCAGGCGTTTCAGTCAATGACACTTGTCTCTCTGCGTGGTCATGCGCACTGCTGCATCCATCCCTTTTACCAGATCCCTCGTGTGAAGATCGACAGGCCGCAAACTCCGGGTTTCATCAACAGCAGCACTCTTTTCCCCGACCTCTTCCCGCACGCGCCCTCACTGAACGAAGGCATGCTGGCATTTCGCAACGACTCGCCGCACCGTTTTCTGCCAGGTGCCTGTCACCACCATGCCGCTTACTTACTATTCTGCTGCTGAGAGATTTCTTTACGAGTTGCTCCTCCGTCACTCATCACATGACCTGTTTTCGCATCTAGTAGCATCACGTGTGGGGCTTACATGCAAGGGTAGAGTGCCTCTGTTGCGCCTCAAATATAACCCTCGTTTTCGGTGGGTAGCGAGGCATTATATGGGATCTGTCGCATGTAAAATTAGTTGAGCAACCCGTAGATTCCAACTCAAAAAATGACCCCCTCCCCCCCCCCCCTCCTTCACATTTTTCCTTTCCTGCTACCCTTCCCTGCCGTTCCAATTCCTGTGTTACTGCAGCAATGGGCTATGGCAGGCGATGCAAGCTGGAGGCGTTCAGCCGCATATGCGGTACAGGCAACCCCTACACCCGGCAGCAGGTAGCTCATGCACTGGGCCTCACAAGCCTCTTATATCCCGACTTCACTCCTCACCTGGCGGACACGGGCGAGTGCGGATGCCAGAAGGAGACGGGAAGGGAGGATGTAATTCGGCCCATGCACATGTCTGTGCTGCGCGCATGTGGAGTGGTCGTGCGCCTCTGGTATTATCCATGCGCGGAGGTGGATAGGAAAAGAATGATCCATGATGGATGGTACCGCTTCAAGGAGAAGCAAAAGGGACGTGTTATTTTGATAAGCCGCATTCGTGAGCGGATAAACCAAGCCATGGCAGAGCAGTCGCAGAGATTGTTATAACCTTCAGCCCCCATTAGAGGTAACTTTTTGTGTGATTCGCTGCTGAACCTTAAGGGTGTGTCCCACGAGTTCACTTGGGGAAAATGTTGGAAACAAGTGATTTAAGCGCTTCTGTTGTGTCGAAACACTGAGTCGTAAACGAAGCGAAGCACAAACAAAGCATCGGCGAGTCAACTATTGGAGGTTAACAAGTGAAGTAACCGCTGGAGGTTACGCGAAGGTCAAAGGTCAAAGGTCAGTTAACAAATACAGCACGACAGTAAGGACAAACAACTGACTCGATACAGAGCAGTTGCTCGAGTCGTCACTGTACCGAACCGCAACAGCAACAGTAAAACAGTTATTAGCTGCATCTTTTCGTGTCCCTTGTACTCTTATAAAACCTTGTACCTCCTTGTTTTAATCAATCTACTTTGCCCTTACATACCAGCGCAAGGTGGTTCAAAACTTCTGATTAAAACACTTCCGCAAGCTACAACATTCCTACCCAGAGTTTAGCCTTGCAAAGATCCTAAGGGCTTTTTCTCAGCCCAACATGGTGTTGGAAACAATAAGTCTTAGTGCGCTTCTGTCGTGTCAAAACCCAAGACACTAGCGAAGCAGTCCGAATCGAAGCATCGAGTCAAACCTCGGAGGTTAGGGTAACCGCCTGGAGGTTACGAGAAAGTCAAAGGTCAGCGACCTTTGACTCGACAATTACAGCGCGACAGTTAAGGACACACAACTGACTCGTTACAGAGCAGTTGCCCGAGTCGCACTGTATCGAATCGCAACAGCAATACAGTTATCTATCTATTCGTATTCTCTGTACCCTTATATAAAACCTTGTATTTGCTTGTTCAATTTTAATCTACTTTGCTCTCACACACTAGTGCAAGGTCGGTTCACAAGTTTCATTAAACGCTTCCGCTATTACAAGTTTCTTACCCAGAGTTATCCTCTGCAAAGATCCTTAAGGGCCTTCTCAGCCCAACATGGTATGAGAGGTGACAGGGGAAACTCTAAATTTTTATATTACAAGACATGGCAACAAACAAGGAAAGGAGCTCCCCTAATGGCTCCTTGGGCACTACTCCTACTCCACCACCAGCCTCTGGCCTGCAGACAGAGGAAGGCACGGCAGCAAGACCAAGGGGAACGTCAACCGAGACCCCCACGAATCACCCTTCTGACTTCGACCAGAGCATGATGGAGAAATTCTTCTCCTTCATGTCCTTCTACGAGCAACACCAGCAGTCGGGACCTGCACAGACACACAACAGCAACAACGGAGCGATACCCATGAGCCTTGATGGGTCGTCATATGCGCGAGGGAATCAACAGCAGCAGCCCACCTTCGCCCCGTACGAGCGCGGGTCGATCAGCTTCCTGCCTCAACCTTCACCTGCGCAAGACAAACCAATGGACGCGTTACAAGTTCAGTCGCAATTCGCGCATGTTTTGAAATTACAAACGTCAAGACCTTTCGACGGAAAGGACTTCTTCACCTGGTCCTTTGAATTCGAGCTGATGATGGAGGGCGCGCAGATACTCGGCTTCTTCGACGGATCCCTGCAGTATCCAGCAAACGGCACACAGTATGAGAAGCAGCAGTATACGTATCAATCGATGATGGCGTATACTATTCTACTGAGAAACATCACACCAACCCAGCAGCAGAACATTCGCTCTTACCGGAACTTCGGCAACTCGGCGGAACTTGCGTACGGCCATCTGAAGAACCTGTATCAGGCAACAGACAGTGTAAACCAGAGCAGGTTAATGGCGCAGTTGACAACAGTTGAAATGAAACCAGGAGAAAAGGGGTTGGCGTATATCAGCCGATGTCGCGAATTGCGCGACAAGCTTCTTCGATGCGGAGGATCAATCTCTGAAGACGCCTTCGTAACAGTCGTCATCGGTGGCCTCGGTCCTCAGTGGCGCGCCACCAAAGCAATTCTTCGAGCACACGGGAGGATCTCCGAAGCGGCACTCTGCGCCGAAATCCACGCCGAGCAGCAGGATATGGACCTGCAAGAAGAAAGGCACAAGAAAAGGGCATTAGCACCGGAGTTCGCTTTCCACACTCAGCGACGACACAACAACTACAACAACCGACAGCAGCAGCCGAAGTTAGTACCTCCGTTTTGTCACATCTGCAAAACATCAGGACACCCCCGCATGCATTGCCCGTCCCGTCAGACAACACCACAGCGACAACTGCGGCCTTCAAGCTCACAAGTTACTTCAACGAAAGCAAGTCCGACAACAACGATTCAAGCTTCAACGACTTCAACTGGACAACCTGCACAAGGAGCAAGAAACATAGTCAACTGCATGGTAAAGATAAACGACTCTTGCATAACAGAGTCACCACCCCATTACTCACCAGAAGAGGAGCTCGACAACAGGACGCCTCGCCGCGAATCACTCCACCCGAATCCGACTTACGCCGCCATCGCTCAAAGTGAACCGTCCGGCTAAGACACTTGGTTCTTGGATAGTTGCTGCGGGCAACACATGTGCTCGTCCGGGCGCTTCGTACAACGCGAACATCGACTCCAATGAGAAGTGATCATCACGGTCGCCAACAATCAAAACCTGCGCACACGACGACAAGGAGTGGTACAGCTTCAGTCAAGAGAAACAAATGTCATACTGCACTTGTCTAAGGTACTCATTGCTGAAGGACTTGGTTACAACTTACTGAGTGTTAGCCAGCTGATGGCGAAAGGGATTCACCTGGAAGCCGACAGCACCACCCGGGAGTTCAAGCTATACCACGGGAGAGGCGGTCTCTACATCGGGAAGGCAGTGCTGAAGAACAACGTCTTCGTCCTCGACTTCGTTCCTGACCTGGGCACTGCAGACAGCGACGCCATCGTGAATTTTACTGATTGGACACACCCTCCTGATCTCGACCCCGACTTCAGCCCGGGAGGTTTCTGGTACTCCCACACTATCCCCGAAGCAGAACGAACAAGAGCGTTAGCGACAATTCAACAAACATCAGAAGCAGAGACAACATCGGCAGGAGCAACAACATCGGCAGGAGCAACAACATCGACATGAGCAACAACATTGGCAGCAGAGACAATATCAGCAGCAGCAGGAACAACGACACCGGTCACAGTCGACGAAGCACCACCAACACCCGCGCAACAGCTGAATCCGACTCAACGTGAAGTCCACCGAAGCGCCAACTTCGTCGCCAGCTTTTACTCCAACTCCGACGCATACCAACGTTCACCCGGACACCGCGCCTCTGAAGAGATCTGGCACGCACGCACAGGACATCCAAGCAACACGGTTTTAAATAACACGATAAGAGCAGGAGTTCTTGACAAAGACTCCCTACTTCTACCCGATGGCAGAGAACTCCAGAAGGCACGAGGGACTTGCCTTATATGTCCAGAAGCTGACTTACCTCATCGACCGTTCGCTCCACATCACAACCCGAGCGCTCCAGCGTACGCACCACTCGAAAAGGTCTACAGCGACATCCTCTACAATCGCGAACCAGGACAAGTTAACTACAACTACACCATCACCTTCATCGACGCCGCCACTCGATATGTCTGGCATCGTAACCTACCCAGCCGCGACATGGCACTCGCAGCATTCGCCGCCTGGCTACCGATAGCAGAGAGAGAGTCTGGAACGCAACTGAAAAGCTTCCAGTCAGACGGAGGTGGCGAGTACACCTCTCAGCGCTTCAAGCAGTTCCTGGCGGAAAGGGGGATTAAGCAACTCCTCTCCCTTCCCTACGCACATCAGCAGCAAGGTGTCGCAGATCGAATGAACAGGACTCTGCAGAACAGCATGCGCAAACTGTTACGTGGCATGCGGCTACCCAACCACCAGTGGCCAGCAGCAATGGACCATGCTGTCATGCTGCACAACTTGTTGTCGTCGTCGTCACTCCCGAACAACGCATCACCGCATCTGCTGTGGACAGGGAAGCAGGGCAGCACAAAGATGTTACGAGTCTTCGGATGCATGGTACAGTACAGACCCCTAGAAGCACGAGCGGGAAGATTTTCGCAACGGGCACAGTGGGGACTACACCTCGGCATCGAGAAAAATTACAACGCGTGGAGAATCTTCGACGTCCACACAAAAGAAACAGTAGCAGCACGAGATGTGATCTTCTACGAACGCCTCACCCTTCAGACGTACCTCGCCAACTTGCACGAGAATCGGGACCTCACCAGTGGTTTTTGTGGTGACCGAGCCTTCGCGTCAGCAGCGGATGAAGCAGACTGGGATGAGCAGAACGTCGACAACGCATCGGAGGAAGCCGGACCTCTTCCGTACTGCTCCGTCAACGTGCCCATGGATGAGGATAACCCTCACGACAGTAACAACGCTGAAATCTTCTACCATTTCGCCGACAATGGTTACGTAACACCTGCGACAGTCAACACCAACGAAGCAGAAAGGGTAGGGCCAAATTTCATACCCGACCCAGAAGCGGGAGACGAAGCAGCTTATCCCGAGGATCCAGAACTCCCTCGATACTCACAGACTGGGCTGCAAATCCTTGGTCTCGTCACCGCAGTCCATGGCGCCACCATTCCTAAGGAGCCTGCGACAGTTCAACAGGCTCTGGGGGGGGAACACAGGGAGAAATGGCGCGAAGCCATGGACAAAGAACTGAAAGCACTGGAGGAGCGCAACACCTGGAAAATCGTTCCCATCGGCGTAGCACAAAACAAGACTATCCTTACCGGGAAGTGGGTCTTCCGTGTGAAGACGAAAGCTGACGGCACCATCGACAAATTCAAAGCTCGCTGGGTCGTGCGCGGCTTTGACCAGGAGCACGGAAGAGATTACACCAAAACCTTCGCTCCGGTCAGCCGTCACACCTCACTCCGAATCCTCATCGCCGTCGCCGCCATGAAGAAAAAGAAATTGCGACAAATCGACGTCGCAAACGCATTCCTCTACGCACCTGTAGATGCAGAAATCTTCGTCGAGCTCCCGCACGGCTCCCACGGCGAACCCAACCGAGTCTGTCA